ACACAGGTGGAAACTGAGTACCCAAATGAGCCACAGGGACGTTAGAAAGAACTTTTTCAGTGTCAGAGTAGTTAACAGGTGGAATGCATTAGGCAGTGATGTGGTGGAGGCTGACTATACAGTTTCAAATGTAGATATGACAGAGCCCAGTAGGCTCAGGAACCTGTACACCAGTTGATTGACGGTTGAGAGGCGGGACCAAAGAGCCAGAGCTCAACCCCCGCAAACACAACTAGGTGAGTACACACACACACACACACACACACACACACACACACACACACACACACACACACACACACACACACACACACACACACACACACATCCCCAGGAAGCAGCCCGTGGCAGCTGTCTAATTACCAGGTACCTATTTACTGCAAGGAGAACAGGTGTATCAGGTGAAAGAAACTATGCCCATTTGTTTCCTCCTCTGCTGGGGATCGAACCCGGACCCTTAGGACTACGACCCCGAGCGCTGTCCACTCGGCCGCGAGGTCCCCGCATGGTGAGGACATGTAGGTAAGAAATGGATAGAAAGGAGATGAATAGGCAAATGGATGAATAGATGAATGGATAGATGATAGTTGGACGGAAGACAGACTTACCCGGGCAACGCCGGGTACGTCCCTAGTATCTATATCTATATAGATATACGTCCCTAGTGTCTATATCTATATAGATATACGTCCCTAGTATCTATATCTATATAGATATACGTCCCTAGTGTCTATATCTATATAGATATACGTCCCTAGTATCTATATCTATATAGATATACGTCCCTAGTATCTATATCTATATAGATATACGTCCCTAGTATCTATATCTATATAGATATACGTCCCTAGTATCTATATCTATCGTCCCTAGTATCTATATCTATATAGATATATGTCCCTAGTATCTATATCTATCGTCCCTAGTATCTATATATCTATATCTATATCAATTTAAAAAAAATGATGTCTGTCTGTGTGTGTGCATCACCAGGCGTTCACACATGACACTTGTGAGGTATGGGACTGTCATAGTCGAATCAGGGGATCGGCCCAGGTGTTATTACTTTAAGAAATGTCGGCATTTAGAGCACCCCCCACCTGTGATTTTCATGAGGTTTGAAATAAAGTCTGAATGTTACGTAGAGTTTTGATACTAAATGCCTGTCTTTCATGCCAGATGAACTTGTTCGGATATTCTATTTTAGGTTAAGCTAGGATAGGTAGGAATAGGTTAGGATAGATTTGGATTGGCTAGGTTAATCAGGTTAGGTTAGGGTAGGTTGTGTTAGGTTAGGGCAGGTTGTGTTAGGTTAGGGCAGGTTGCGATAGGTTAGGGCAGGTTGTGATAGGTTAGGGCAGGTTGTGATAGGTTAGGGCAGGTTGTGATAGGTTAGGGCAGGTTGCGATAGGTTAGTGCAGGTTGTGATAGGTTAGTGCAGGTTGTGATAGGTTAGTGTAGGTTGTGATAGGTTAGGGCAGGTTGCGATAGGTTAGGGCAGGTTGCGATAGGTTAGGGCAGGTTGTGATAGGTTAGGGCAGGTTGTGCTAGGTTAGGGTAGGTTGCGATAGGTTAGGACAGGTTGTGATAGGTTAGTGCAGGTTGCGATAGGTTAGGGCAGGTTGCGATAGGTTAGGGCAGGTTGTGATAGGTTAGGGCAGGTTGTGATAGGTTAGGGCAGGTTGCGATAGGTTAGGACAGGTTGTGATAGGTTAGGGCAGGTTGTGATAGGTTAGGGCAGGTTGTGATAGGTTAGGGCAGGTTGTGATAGGTTAGGGCAGGTTGCGATAGGTTAGGGCAGGTTGCGATAGGTTAGGGCAGGTTGCGATAGGTTAGGGCAGGTTGTGATAGGTTAGGGCAGGTTGCGATAGGTTAGGGCAGGTTGTGATAGGTTAGGGCAGGTTGTGATAGGTTAGGGCAGGTTGCGATAGGTTAGGGCAGGTTGTGATAGGTTAGGGCAGGTTGTGATAGGTTAGGGCAGGTTGCGATAGGTTAGGGCAGGTTGTGATAGGTTAGGGCAGGTTGTGATAGGTTAGGGCAGGTTGCGATAGGTTAGGACAGGTTGTGATAGGTTAGGGCAGGTTGCGATAGGTTAGGGCAGGTTGCGATAGGTTAGGACAGGTTGTGATAGGTTAGGGCAGGTTGCGATAGGTTAGGGCAGGTTGTGATAGGTTAGGGCAGGTTGCGATAGGTTAGAGCAGGTTGTGATAGGTTAGGGCAGATTGCGATAGGTTAGGGCAGGTTGCGATAGGTTAGGGCAGATTGCGATAGGTTAGGGCAGGTTGCGATAGGTTAGGGCAGGTTGCGATAGGTTAGGGCAGGTTGCGATAGGTTAGGGCAGGTTGCGATAGGTTAGGGCAGGTTGCGATAGGTTAGGGCAGGTTGTGCTAGGTTAGGGTAAGTTGCGATAGGTTAGGGCAGGTTGCGATAGGTTAGGGCAGGTTGCGATAGGTTAGGGCAGGTTGTGCTAGGTTAGGGTAGGTTGCGATAGGTTAGGACAGGTTGTGATAGGTTAGTGCAGGTTGCGATAGGTTAGGGCAGGTTGCGATAGGTTAGGGCAGGTTGTGATAGGTTAGGGCAGGTTGTGATAGGTTAGGGCAGGTTGCGATAGGTTAGGACAGGTTGTGATAGGTTAGGGCAGGTTGTGATAGGTTAGGGCAGGTTGTGATAGGTTAGGGCAGGTTGTGATAGGTTAGGGCAGGTTGCGATAGGTTAGGGCAGGTTGCGATAGGTTAGGGCAGGTTGCGATAGGTTAGGGCAGGTTGTGATAGGTTAGGGCAGGTTGCGATAGGTTAGGGCAGGTTGTGATAGGTTAGGGCAGGTTGTGATAGGTTAGGGCAGGTTGCGATAGGTTAGGGCAGGTTGTGATAGGTTAGGGCAGGTTGTGATAGGTTAGGGCAGGTTGCGATAGGTTAGGGCAGGTTGTGATAGGTTAGGGCAGGTTGTGATAGGTTAGGGCAGGTTGCGATAGGTTAGGACAGGTTGTGATAGGTTAGGGCAGGTTGCGATAGGTTAGGGCAGGTTGCGATAGGTTAGGACAGGTTGTGATAGGTTAGGGCAGGTTGCGATAGGTTAGGGCAGGTTGTGATAGGTTAGGGCAGGTTGCGATAGGTTAGAGCAGGTTGTGATAGGTTAGGGCAGATTGCGATAGGTTAGGGCAGGTTGCGATAGGTTAGGGCAGATTGCGATAGGTTAGGGCAGGTTGCGATAGGTTAGGGCAGGTTGTGATAGGTTAGGGCAGGTTGTGATAGGTTAGGGCAGGTTGCGATAGGTTAGGACAGGTTGTGATAGGTTAGGGCAGGTTGCGATAGGTTAGGGCAGGTTGTGATAGGTTAGGGCAGGTTGCGATAGGTTAGGACAGGTTGTGATAGGTTAGGGCAGGTTGCGATAGGTTAGGGCAGGTTGTGATAGGTTAGGGCTGGTTGCGATAGGTTAGGGCAGGTTGTGATAGGTTAGGGCAGGTTGTGATAGGTTAGGGCAGGTTGCGATAGGTTAGGGCAGGTTGTGATAGGTTAGGGCAGGTTGTGATAGGTTAGGGCAGGTTGCGATAGGTTAGGGCAGGTTGTGATAGGTTAGGGCAGGTTGCGATAGGTTAGGGCAGGTTGTGATAGGTTAGGGCAGGTTGCGATAGGTTAGGGCAGGTTGTGATAGGTTAGGGCAGGTTGTGATAGGTTAGGGCAGGTTGCGATAGGTTAGGGCATTTTAACCTATTGTGATAGGTTAGGGCATTTTAAAATGATTTAGAATAGTTTCTGAATATAGAAACAGAATTGAAATAGAATTACTCTGTATTATATTTATTAAATAAACGAAAGAGGGACACTTCGCAACATAGTCTACCTTGACACCACATTTGACCTCCCAACATAGTCTACCTTGACACCACATTTGACTTCCCAACATAGTCTACCTTGACACCACATTTGACCTCCCAACATAGTCTACCTTGACACCATATTTGACTTCCCAACATAGTCTACCTTGACACTACATTTGACCTCCCAACATAGTCTACCTTGACACCACATTTGACCTCCCAACATAGTCTACCTTGACACCACATTCGACTTCCCAACATAGTCTACCTTGACACCACATTTGACCTCCCAACATAGTCTACCTTGACACCACATTTGACCTCCCAACATAGTCTACCTTGACACCACATTCGACTTCCCAACATAGTCTACCTTGACACCATATTTGACTTCCCAACATAGTCTACCTTGACACCACATTTGACCTCCCAACACTGTCTACCTTGACACCACATTCGACTTCCCAACATAGTCTACCTTGACACCACATTTGACCTCCCAACATAGTCTACCTTGACACCACATTAGACGTCTGCAACATGGGGCTTGAGCACAACACCTAGGAGGGGCGTGAGCACACTTAACAACAGGTGTAGCCGCCAGAGGGCAACATATGACCACATAACGGCCGTGTACCTCCTCTCAGCGGACCCGACCCCCTCAACCAGCCAGTCCGGACAAAGTGACATTGATGTAACGACCAATCAACGTAGCCACCGCCGATTTCAGCGTGTGAAAACGTTGATTAAATAACGATAACATGCAACAGGGGAGGGAAGGAACGTAACCAGCGTTGACTGAACGTCGATTTGACGATTTTTTGGTGTTTTTTAACGTTACTCGGGAGCGTGTTTTGCCCCGGTGGGTGGAGATAATGCAGGCAGGGAGGGGGCCCATCCGACACAGTCTAGCTGGCCGGAGTAGGGACCCCAGCGTCCGGAAATACCTGATGGCTCATGGAAACACCTGGCCTCTAACACCTCCCTCCTCCTCCTGCTCCAGCCTCCACCTGGAGTCCTCCTTACCTCCTACGAGCCGTCGCACCCTCCAGGAAGATCCTGGAACCCATGCTAAGACAAAATCCGGTTCTATTTAATGATCTTATGAACTCCGGAATGCATTGGACTAAGCTTGGCGGGTGTAATTGGGAGCAATCCATCCAGCTGGAATTGGTAAGGGGGGATGCAGCTGGTTGTACAGGATGCGTGCCGTTGTTCTCAGCAGCGGCAGCAGCAGCAGCGGCCGTCTTGTGAACAGGATCTTGTTCTCGACACATCTGGTGCAAGGTGCAGGGGTTTACGCTCTAGGTACACAGGTGCGACCGTTGTTCCCTTCTACCAGGATATAAGGTCTGCTTTGTGCTACTGGGGTACATGTGTGCTACTGGGGTACATGTGTGCTACTGGGGTACATGTGTGCTACTGGGGTACATGTGAGCTACTGTGGTACATGTGTGCTACTGGGGTACATGTGTGCTACTGGGGTACATGTGTGCTACTGTGGTACATGTGTGCTACTGGGGTACACGTGTGCTACTGGTTAGGGCACACGTGTGCCCCTGTAGCACATGTGTGCTACTGGGGTACATGTGTGCTACTGGGGTACACGTGTGCTACTGGTTAGGGCACACGTGTGCCCCTGTAGCACATGTGTGCTACTGGGGTACATGTGTGCTACTGGGGTACATGTGTGCTACTGGGGTACATGTGTGCTACTGGGGTACATGTGTGCTACTGGGGTACATGTGAGCTACTGTGGTACATGTGTGCTACTGGGGTACATGTGTGCTACTGGGGTACATGTGTGCTACTGTGGTACATGTGTGCTACTGGGGTACATGTGTGCTACTGGGGTGCATGTGTGCTACTGGTGTACATGTGTGCTACTGGGGTACATGTGTGCTACTGGGGTACATGTGTGTTACTGTGGTACATGTGTGCTACTGGGGTACATGTGTGCTACTGGGGTACATGTGTGCTACTGGGGTACATGTGTGATACTGGGGTACATGTGTGCTACTGGGGTACATGTGTGCTACTGGGGTACATGTGTGCTACTGGGGTACATGTGTGCTACTGGGGTACATGTGTGCTACTGGGGTACATGTGTGCTACTGGGGTACATGTGTGCTACTGGGGTACATGTGTGCTACTGGGGTACATGTGTGCTACTGGGGTACATGTGTGCTACTGGGGTACATGTGAGCTACTGGGGTACATGTGTGCTACTGGGGTACATGTGTGCTACTGGGGTACATGTGTGCTACTGGGGTACATGTGAGCTACTGGGGTACATGTGTGCTACTGGGGTACATGTGTGCTACTGTGGTACATGTGTGCTACTGGGGTACATGTGTGCTACTGGGGTACATGTGTGCTACTGGGGTACATGTGTGCTACTGGGGTACATGTGTGCTACTGGGGTACATGTGTGCTACTGGGGTACATGTGTGTTACTGTGGTACATGTGTGCTACTGGGGTACATGTGTGCTACTGGGGTACATGTGTGCTACTGGGGTACATGTGTGCTACTGTGGTACATGTGTGCTACTGGGGTACATGTGTGCTACTGTGGTACATGTGTGCTACAGGGGTACATGTGTGCTACAGGGGTACATGTGTGCTACTGTGGTACATGTGTGCTACTGGGGTACATGTGTGCTACTGGGGTACATGTGTGCTACTGGGGTACATGTGTGCTACAGGGGTACATGTGTGCTACTGTGGTACATGTGTGCTACTGGGGTACATGTGTGCTACAGGGGTACATGTGTGCTACTGTGGTACATGTGTGCTACTGTGGTACATGTGTGCTACAGGGGTACATGTGTGCTACTGGGGTACATGTGTGCTACTGGGGTACATGTGTGATACTGGGGTACATGTGTGCTACTGGGGTACATGTGTGCTACTGGGGTACATGTGTGCTACTGGGGTACATGTGTGCTACTGGGGTACATGTGTGATACTGGGGTACATGTGTGCTACTGGGGTACATGTGTGCTACTGTGGTACATGTGTGTTACTGGGGTACATGTGTGCTACTGGGGTACATGTGTGCTACTGGGGTACATGTGTGCTACTGGGGTACATGTGTGCTACTGGGGTACATGTGTGCTACTGGGGTACATGTGTGCTACTGTGGTACATGTGTGCTACTGTGGTACATGTGTGCTACAGGGGTACATGTGTGCTACTGGGGTACATGTGTGCTACTGGGGTACATGTGTGATACTGGGGTACATGTGTGCTACTGGGGTACATGTGTGCTACTGGGGTACATGTGTGCTACTGGGGTACATGTGTGCTACTGGGGTACATGTGTGCTACTGTGGTACATGTGTGTTACTGGGGTACATGTGTGCTACTGGGGTACATGTGTGCTACTGGGGTACATGTGTGCTACTGGGGTACATGTGTGCTACTGGGGTACATGTGTACCACAGTAGATGTCACAGATTTCAAAGTTCATTGGAATCATCCAAGAAACAAAGGAATCAAACAAGGAACCATTTATGGAACCATCCAAGGAACCGAGGAACCAAACAAGGAACCATCCCTGGAACCATCCAAGGAACCAAACAAGGAACCATCCCTGGAACCATCCTAGGAACCAAGGAACCAACCAAGGAACCATCTATGGAACCATCCAAGGAACCAAGAAACCATCCAAGAAACAAAGGAATCAAACAAGGAACCATTTATGGAACCATCCAAGGAACCACGGAACCAACCAAGGAACCATCCATGGAACCATCCAAGGAACCAACCAAGGAACCATCCAAGGAACCAAGGAACCATCTATGGAACCATCCAAGGAACCAAGGAACCATCCAAGGAACCAAGGAACCAACCAAGAAACCTAGGAACCAACCAAGGGACTATATATATATATATATATATTTATATTAGTATATTTTGGTAGCAGTCTTTCCTGTAGACATATATTATTAAATATGACTGAAAAAGTAAGATTAATAATTCTAACACGAATTTTCTCAATCTTTCGTACATTTCTTTTCACTGTTGGAGGTAAATCAAAAATCAATTCTCCAAAATTCATTTTTATTTCTAGTCTGACGCGACACGAGCGCGTTTCGTAAAACTTATTACATTTTCAAAGACTTTTAGTTTAGACAGTCCCCAAGAGGGCATTTGAAGGCATAGACGACGTTAGTCTCTTTTAAAGCGTTCTGTTTTGTGTCTGGAGAGTTTCTCATGAGTAGGCTGGCCGTTTTTCTGGTTTTATAGTAAAACCAGAAAAACTAGTAAATAGTAATTTTACTATAAAACCAGAAAAACGGCCAGCCTACTCATGAGAAACTCTCCAGACACAAAACAGAACGCTTTAAAAGAGACTAACGTCGTCTATGCCTTCAAATGCCCTCTTGGGGACTGTAAGCTCAAAAAAACCAGTATATAGGCAAGACAACAACATCTCTTTCTAGGCGTTTAACGATGCATAAGCAACAGGGCTCCATTAAGGAACATATAATCTCTTCCCACAACCAAACCATCACCAGAGAAATCCTAGTAAACAACACAGAAATCATCGATAGATACAGCGATAGCAGGCGGCTTGACGTTTGCGAGGCACTACACATCAAGAAGTCAACACCAGCAATCAACAGCCAATTAATGCACAACTATATTCTACCCACCTCAAGACTCCGCTCCAATATAGAAGCATCAAGAAATATGGACCAATAGGCTTTCTACAAACACTTCTATTCAATACCCATTGTTTCGTGTTCTGTCTTGTGTTGATGAAATTAATACCCTATTAATGCCACCTCACCCCATCCACCTCACTCAAATGTAGATATAAAATCGGAGATGCGTAAGTTCTATTCAGTTGTGTATTTGTAAACTAAAGTCTTTGAAAATGTAATAAGTTTTACGAAACGCGCTCGTGTCGCGTCAGACTAGAAATAAAAATTAATTTTGGAGAATTGATTTTTTATTTACCTCCAACAGTGAAAAGAAATGTACGAAAGATTGAGAAAATTCGTGTTAGAATTATTAATCTTACTTTTTCGGTCATATTTAATAATATATATATATATATATATATATATATATATATATATATATATATATATATATATATATATATATATATATATATATATATATATATATATATATATATATATATATATATATATATATATATATATATATATATATATATATATATATATATATATATATATATATATATATATATATATATATATATATATATATATATATATATATATATATATGGAACCATTCAAGGAACCATCCAAGGAAGTATCCAAGGGGACCTTCCAAGGGACCATCCAAGGGACCATCCAAGGAACCACCCAAGGAACCATCCAAGGAACCAACCAAGGACCATCCAAGGAACCAACCAAGGACCATCCAAGGAACCAACCAAGGACCATCCAAGGAACCAACCAAGGACCATCCAAGGAACCAACCAAGGAACCATCCAAGGAACCAACCAAGAACCATCCAAGGAACCAACCAAGGACCATCCAAGGAACCAACCAAGGACCATCCAAGGAACCAACCAAGGAACCATCCAAGGAACCAACCAAGGACCATCCAAGGAACCAACCAAGGACCATCCAAGGAACCAACCAAGGACCATCCAAGGAACCAACCAAGGACCATCCAAGGAACCAACCAAGGAACCATCCAAGGAACCAACCAAGGAACCAACCAAGGAACCATCCAAGGAACCAACCAAGGACCATCCAAGGAACCAACCAAGGACCATCCAAGGAACCAACCAAGGACCATCCAAGGAACCATCCAAGGAACCAACCAAGGACCCATCCAAGGAACCAACCAAGGAACCATCCAAGGAACCAACCAAGGAACCATCCAAGGAACCAACCAAGGAACCACCCAAGGAACCATCCAAGGAACCATCCAAGGAACCAACCAAGGAACCAACCAAGGAACCAACCAAGAAACCAACCAAGGAACCAACCAAGGAACCAACCAAGGAACCAACCAAGAAACCAACCAAGGAACCATCCAAGGAACCACCCAAGGAACCATCCAAGGAACCATCCAAGGAACCAACCAAGGAACCATCCAAGGAACCACCCAAGGAACCACCCAAGGAACCAACCAAGGAACCATCCAAGGAACCAACCAAGGAACCACCCAAGGAACCAACCAAAGAACCATCCAAGGAACCAACCAAGATTTTTGTGGTTCTAAGAAGCCAATCATTACAGCCTAAAGTGTTTGTGGGTTGGTACAAGTCACAGCCACCATAACCAACCACGTGACACATGTGTCACGCAACCATGTGACACATGTGTCACCCAACTACGTGACACATGTGTCAACCAACTACGTGACACATGTGTCACCCAAGTACGTGACACATGTGTCACGCAACCATGTGGCACATGTGTCAACCAACTACGTGACACATGTGTCACCCAACTACGTGACACATGTGTCAACCAACTACGTGACACATGTGTCACCCAACTACGTGACACATGTGTCAACCAACTACGTGACACATGTGTCAACCAACTACGTGACACATGTGTCAACCAACTACGTTACACATGTGTCAACCAACTACGTGACACATGTGTCACACAACCACGTGACACATGTGTCATTCAACCACGTGACACATGTGTCAACCAACTACGTGACACATGTGTCAACCAACTACGTGACAAGGCACAAATATAACGATTAAGAGATATAGGTGTTCTTGTAGCAGGTGTGAGTGAGCAGGTGTGTGAGAGGACAGGTGTGTGGGAGGACAGTTGTGTAGGAGGACAGGTGTACTCATCTATTTGTGCTTGCGGGGGTTGAGCTCTGGCTCTTTGGCCTCTCAACCGTCAATCAACTGGTGTACAGGTTCCTGAGCCTATCGGGCTCTGTCATATCTACACTTGAAACTGTGTATGGAGTCAGCCTCCACCACATCACCCCCTAATGCATTCCATTTGTCAACCACTCTGACACTAAAAAAGTTCTTTCTAATATCTCTGTGGCTCATTTGGGCACTCAGTTTCCACTTGTGTCCCCTAGTGCGTGTTCCCCTTGTGTTAAATAGCCTGCCTTTATCTACCCTGTCGATTCCCTTGAGAATCTTGAATGTGGTGATCATGTCCCCCCTAACTCTTCTGTCTTCCAGCGAAGCGAGGTTTAATTCCCGTAGTCTCTCCTCGTAGCTCATACCTCTCAGCTCGGGTACTAGTCTGGTGGCAAACCTTTGAACCTTTTCCAGTTTAGTCTTATGCTTGACTAGATATGGACTCCATGCTGGAGCCGCATACTCCAGGATTGGTCTGACATATGTGGTATATAATGTTCTGAAACATTCCTTACTCAAGTTTCTAAAGGCCGTTCTTATGTTAGCCAACCTGGCATATGCTGCTGATGTTATCCTCTTGATATGAGCTTCAGGGGACAGGTCTGGCGTGATATCAACCCCCAGGTCTGTCTCTCTCTCTGACTCTTGAATTATTTCATCTCCCAAATGATACCTTGTATCTGGTCTCCTGTTTCCTACCCCTATCTTCATTACATTACATTGCATTTGCTTGGGTTAAACTCTAACAGCCATTTGTTCGACTATTCCTGCAGCTTGTCCAGGTCTTCTTGAAGCCTCATGCTGTCCTCCTCTGTCTTAATCCTTCTCATAATTTTGGCGTCGTCAGCAAACATTGAGAGGAATGAGTCTATACCCTCTGGGAGATCATTTACGTATATCAGAAACAGGATTGGTCCAAGTACAGAGCCCTGTAGGACTCCACTGGTGACTTCACGCCATTCTGAGGTCTCACCCCTCACTGTAACTCTCTGCTTCTTATTGCTTAGGTACTCCCTTATCCACTGGCGCGCCCTACCAGTTACTCCTGCCTGTTTCTCCAGCTTATGCCTCAACCTTTTATGGGGTACTGTGTCAAAGGCTTTCTGACAGTCCAAAAAAATGCAGTCCGCCCATCCTTCTCTTTCTTGCTTAATCTTTGTCGCCTGATCGTAGAATTCTATCAAGCCTGTAAGGCAAGATTTACCCTCCCTGAATCCATGTTGATGGGTTGTCACGAAGTCCCTTCTCTCCAGATGTGTTACCAGATTTTTCTCACGATCTTCTCCATCACCTTGCATGGTATACAAGTTAAGGACACTGGCCTGTAGTTCAGTGCCTCTTGTCTGTCACCCTTTTTGTATATTGGGACTACATTAGCAGTCTTCCATATTTCTGGTAGGTCTCCCGTCTCCAGTGACCTACTATACACTATGAAGAGTGGCAAGCAAAGTGCCTCTGCACACTCTTTCAATACCCATGGTGAGATTCCGTCCGGCCCAACAGCTTTTCTCACATCCAGCTCCAATAGGTGCTTCTTGACCTCATCTCTTGTAATTTCGAACCAACTTGTAATTTCCTCCAACTGTGTGGGAGGACAGGTGTGTGGGAGGACTGGTGTGTGAGAGGACAGGTGTGTGGGAGGACAGGTGTGTGGGAGGACAGGTGTGTGAGAGGACAGGTGTGTGAGGACAGGTGTGTGGGAGGACAGGTGTGGGAGAGGACAGTTGTGTGGGAGGACAGGTGTGTGAGAGGACAGGTGTGTAGGAGGACAGGTGTACTCACCTATTTGTGCTTGCGGGGGTTGAGCTCTGGCTCTTTGGTCCCGCCTCTCAACTGTCAATCAACTGGTGTACAGGTTCCTGAGCCTATTGGGCTCTATCATATCTACACTTGAAACTGTGTATGGAGTCAGCCTCCACCACATCACTGCCTAATGCATTCCACCTGTTAACTACTCTGACACTGAAAAAGTTCTTTCTAACGTCCCTGTGGCTCATTTGGGTACTCAGTCTCCACCTGTGTCCCCTTGTTCGTGTCCCACCCGTTTTAAACAGTTTATCGTTATGTACTCTGTCAATTCCTTTGAGAATTTTGTAGGTAGTGATCATGTCTCCCCTTACTCTTCTGTCTTCCAGTGTCGTGAGGTGCATTTCGCACAGCCTTTTCTCGTAACTCATGCCTCTTAGTTCTGGGACTAGTCTAGTGGCATACCTCTGAACTTTTTTCAGCTTCGTCTTGTGCTTGACAAGGTACGGGCTCCATGCTGGGGCCGCATACTCCAGGATTGGTCTTACATATGTGGTATTCAAGATTCTGAATGATTCCTTACACAGGTTCCTGAAGGCTGTTCTGATGTTAGCCAGCCTCGCATATGCCGCAGATGTTATTCTTTTTATGTGGGCTTCAGGAGACAGGTTTGGTTTGATATCAACTCCTAGATCTTTCTCTCTGTCCGTTTCATGAAGTACTTCATCTCCCATTTCGTATCTTATGTCTGGCCTTCTGTTTCCACCGCCTAGTTTCATTACCTTACATTTACTCGGGTTGAACTTTAGTCGCCATTTGTTGTTGTCGCCAGTCATTCAGTCTGTCTAGGTCATCTTGTAGCCTCATACTATCTTCCTCTGTCTTAATCCTCCTCATAATTTTTGCATCATCAGCAAACAATGAGAGGAATGATTCTATACCCTCTGGGAGATCATTTACATATATCAGAAACAGTATAGGTCCAAGGACTGAACCCTGCGGGACTCCATTGGTGACGTCTCGCCAATCTGAGACCTCACCCCTCACAGTGACTTGCTGTCTTCTGTTGCTCTGGTAGTCCCATATCAAACTGAGTACCTTCTCTTTCACTCCTGTCTGCATATCCAGCTTGTGCACTAGTCTCTTGTGTGGTACTGTATCAAAGGCTTTCTGGCAATCCAGAAATACGCAGTCTGCCCACCCTTCTCTTTCTTACCTGATTTTTGTTGCATGGTCGTAGAATTCAAGTAACCCTGTGAGGCAGGACCTGCCATCCCTGAACCCATGTTGATGCTGTGTTACAAAGTTCTTTCGCTCCAGATGTTCCACTAGCTTTCTTCGCACAATCTTCTCCATCAGCTTGCATGGTATGCAGATTAGGGACACTGGCCTGTAGTTCAGTGCCTCCTGTCTATCCCCTTTCTTGTATATCGGGACTACGTTAGCCGTCTTCCAAATTTTTGGCATTTTACCTGTTACCAGTGATTTGTTATAAACTATGGAGAGTGGCAGGCACAGTGCTTTTGCTCATTCCTTTAGTATCCAAGGGGAGATTCCATCTGGGCCTATAGCCTTTGTCACATCCAACTCTAGTAAACACTTCCTTACTTCCCCGCTGGTAATCTCAAACTCTTCCAGTGGTTCCTGGTTAGCTATTCCCTCTCTTATCTCTGGAATTTCTCCTTGCTCTAAGGTGAAGACCTCCTGGAACTTCTTATTCAGTTCCTCACACACTTCCTTGTCGTTTGTAATGAATTTGTCTGCCCCTATCCTCAGTTTCATTACCTGTTCATTTACTGTTGTTTTTCTCCTGATGTGGCTGTGCATGAATTTAGGTTGAGTCTTTGCCTTGCTTGCGATGTCATTTTCAGTGTGTGTGTGTGTGTGTGTGTGTGTGTGTGTGTGTGTGTGTGTGTGTGTGTGTGTGTGTGTGTGTGTGTGTGTGTGTGTGTGTGTGTGTGTGTGTGTGTGTGTGTGTGTGTGTGTGTGTGTGTGCGTGTGAGCGTGACTGTGTGTGTGAGTGGGGAAGGCCAGCTTAAATGAGGCAATTTAGACTGTAATAGTTCTGACGGCCTTTGTAATCCTCTTGAAATGTAACCTCCTCTGAGGGCTCAGGTTACAGCTGTACTGTCGTTACGCCCCAGGCGCTCTGGTAGTTAGGTCGGGTGCTCTGGTGGTTAGGTCTGGTGCTCCGGTAGTTAGGTCGGGTGCTCTGGTAGTTAGGTCGGGTGCTCCGGTAGTTAGGTCGGGTGCTCCGGTAGTTAGGTCTGGTGCTCCGGTAGTTAGGTCGGGTGCTCTGGTAGTTAGGTCGGGTGCTCTGGTAGTTAGGTCGGGTGCTGCGGTAGTTAGGTCGGGTGCTCCGGTAGTTAGGTCGGGTGCTCCGGTAGTTAGGTCGGGTGCTCCGGTAGTTAGGTCGGGTGCTCCGGTAGTTAGGTCGGGTGCTCCGGTAGTTAGGTCTGGTGCTCCGGTAGTTAGGTCTGGTGCTCCGGTAGTTAGGTCGGGTGCTCCGGTAGTTAGGTCTGGTGCTCCGGTAGTTAGGTCGGGTGCTCCGGTAGTTAGGTCGGGTGCTCTGGTAGTTAGGTCTGGTGCTCCGGTAGTTAGGTCTGGTGCTCCGGTAGTTAGGTCTGGTGCTCCGGTAGTTAGGTCGGGTGCTCCGGTAGTTAGGTCTGGTGCTCCGGTAGTTAGGTCGGGTGCTCTGGTAGTTAGGTCGGGTGCTCCGGTAGTTAGGTCGGGTGCTCTGGTAGTTAGGTCTGGTGCTCCGGTAGTTAGGTCTGGTGCTCCGGTAGTTAGGTCTGGTGCTCCGGTAGTTAGGTCGGGTGCTCCGGTAGTTAGGTCGGGTGCTCTGGTAGTTAGGTCGGGTGCTCCGGTAGTTAGGTCGGGTGCTCTGGTAGTTAGGTCGGGTGCTCCGGTAGTTAGGTCGGGTGCTCCGGTAGTTAGGTTGTTAGGATAACACTACCGCCTCCGGCAATCACCTGTTGGAGGGATTTACTGCACCGTTGGACACCTGGGTCATGATTCATCAAAGCCTTTATACGGCTCCACTGACGAAACCTATACATCTTCCCTCGATGATGGCGGCTGTGTTTACATGCAACAAGCAGTTTACGAGCTCCGAGGAGCTACAAGAGGTT